AAACAGGACGAGTTTACCAATGAAAAACAAATTGTAGATCAATTCCTGAAATAAGACGGGGCGACTATCTGCATGACCAAATGACTTCCTCCAGAGACTGACTTTTGACAAGCATTCCTCTTCAGAAGTTTATTCTGAAAAGTATTCCCCCCAGAGACTAAATTCTGGCGAGCACTTTCCTTCTGAAAAACATTCTTCACAGTCAGGCGTAGACTCGTTCTGATATTACTATCAACAATTACTTTAGATGGCATCTGTAAGCTCATCCCCGACGACATTCTATCATCTCTCCGAATGGCATCTTCAAGCCCAATCAAGCAATACTATCAATAAACAACGTTACTTCATGCACCGACGAGTACAAATTTCCAGGCACTTAAGTGTTTAATCATCTTCCACCTTCAGATCACGAATGGCGGACGTGCCAATCTAACTTTTCAAATTTAAGAAGATTGAATAGGGGAAGCTGTTGTACCCCAAAATTTTCCCTCCCATTTTCTTCAAGACACCTCCTCATGCTCCTAGGGTTTTCAATTGCTCAAGGCTACTCAATATTTGATCAGACAAATTCTCCTCCTAAGCAGTTGACCTACAACTAGGGCTTCACTTTTCTCAAGGAAATTTTAGCTTATAATGCCTCAAGTGGATTTCATGGTTCCTCATATGTCTCAAGGAATGCTCATGCCAAATTTTAAGCCTTGAATCTCAAGTTTGCTCAGTCAATTGCTCAGATGACTAAAAATCAACTGTATTGGGTAAAAAGTCAACTATGGTCAACATACAATCAAACTTCAAGATTTTAGGTCAAAATCAAGATTTTGAAGTCACATTCATCATTTGATTAAGGGTTAATCATGATTCATCAAGAAAACTCTCAATTCATCAAAAGTCAAAGTTGCAAAATTAAGGTTTTCTTAAGGAGAAGTCAACTGAACTTTGACAAGCATAACTTCCACATGCTTCATTATATTTTTCTCAACCAAATATCATTTTGAAGGAAATTCAATTCTCTACAACCTTGTCTCTCTAAGCTCAAGTCCAAAAAATGCTTCATTTGAGAGATACAGGCAAAAACATTGCAGGTCATTTCAAATAGTCAACAAAAAGACACTTTTGGTCAAAGAAATTTACATTAAGATAAAATCTTCAAATAAAAATATGATCAACATAGATATTGTAGATGACATTTTGGGATTTCCAAAAAGTCATAGATCACCTCCATATGATAAAAATTGAGATAGTTATGACTGGTGAAAGTTGGGGAATTTTGAGAAAATGCATAAAATCCAAATTGATCAACATTGAATATTTGGGCTAGTGGGCTTATGATTCAAGGTCCAAACGTGTTTTGTAACTCATAGGGAACCTCTGGATTACTTCATACACCCTTTGGATTTTTATTCAATTTATTTTTGATTTTATTTATTTAAATTAAAAAATAAATTAAATTAAATCAAGGCTTTTCATACAAAGGTCCAAGCCCAATCTTTTGACCTAATTCAGGCTCTATATATTCTTCATTCATACAAGAGAAGAGGGGACGAAAACTTGAAAAATAGATCACTATTCCAAAAACTCCAAAATTATCCAAAACTAGGGCAAGCTTCAAACCCTACTTTCAGCCTCTCTCAAAGCAAGCCAACCATCTCATTCAATTCCAGGAGTGTTATAGAGTAAGTAGGGATCGATTGTGATGATCCAAGAGGCCTGAAACTAATGAGCATGCATCATTGATTTTCTATATTTGCATGAATTCATATTTTTCGTTTTATCGTGTTTTGATTAAAACTAACGTTACTAATATGCTTCTGAGATGTATTAGTGCAGGATAGAACCATTGCATGAGCCCCATGGTGCCTGGATGACGTGTTACCATGTTTACACTGATTTTCCATAGTTATGCCGTATCTCTCTTTACAGGAAGAATTAGCCCAAACCAAGGCCACCATTGGATTCAAGAGGATTGATTTAGGGGAGTAGGGTCCCGTTGGATCACTAATACCTTTTATTTTGCAGATTTTGAAAAAACACCCAGCCGGAGAAGACGACGGAGCTAGGGCTCCGACGCTTCTCCGGTCATACTTTTTTAATTTATATTATATATGTTTTGATCTAATAAAATGAACGGATGTGCAACCACCCTATTGGTAGAAGCGCGCGCGTTAAGGTATTACTGCACTAGGGCATGGGTTCGATCCCTACGTTTTGCAAAATTTATTTGTTTTTCATATCTTTTGTAGGTTTCATATATTATAAAGCGCGTTGGTTATACTAACACCAAAGCAACAATGGCTCAGTGGTAAAGCAGGCGCGTTGATACCCTATGGGGCGTGGATTCAACACCCACCCCTAACATTCTTTGTTTTTCCTAACCCTATTATCTTCTTTTTAGCCAATAAGCCCTAATTCTTTTAAGTAAACCCTAATAACCTTTTAACTAACCATAATTATTTTTTTCTAACACTAATTAAATTAGTTTTAAATTTTTTTTATAACAATTAATTTTTATTTTAATTAATTTTTTTTAATTTTAAAATTAATTAGATTCTTAGGTTTTATTTAATTAATTATCATAAATTATTTTTCATAAAAAAACACCAAAAACATTTTCTTTTCTATTTTCATCTTATTTTCACTTGCCTAGATAAAGTGTATAGGGCGCGTTCAATTGTAATAGCGTAGCTTCATTTTTCCCGTATTTTTTATTATTATCATGTAATTGCTCCTAATATATAATAGTTGTAGGTTTATTTTCCCGCACTTCTCTATTATGTAACTTCCCCAAAGCTCTGTAATAGCCTAGGCTTATATTTCTGCCTTTATCTTCTGCTATTATATTTACTGTATTACTGTTAGTAATTAGGGTTTGTATGGCAAGACTAAAAACAAACGCTAGAAAATCTAATTTCAAGATAAATAATTGAATCAAACAAACTTGTCACACTTGCATCTCTAGAGTAGTCTCTCTTTGTTGCCTTTCGGAATAACGGTCATGTCCCTCGAACGTAGGGATGCTTTAGCAAAGACCCTCGAATAAAAGATCATAAGTCCCTCAATGACCCTCCGATGTTGCCTACGAATAACATGATCTAACCCCTTACGAAACTGCTAAAGAATCCTTATAAGTTGCCTTCGATGACCGTACGATGATCCTACGTCTGTCCCTTCACCTCTAATAGATAGGGCTACCTACCAACTAATGGTGTGGATAACACTATCTCTAAAGGAGGAGGAAAATAACAAGAACGACCTTGAGTGGGTAGGATACTTTAATCGCTTGCTCACAAAATTTTCTCACAAATACCTTTCACACATCACTTTCAAAACAACGATATTTTCAAAACACTTTGTACGCATTCTTGAGGACCGATACAAGAATCATTTCAAAGTTCGCCTTACATTGGCATTTTCAAAATATTTTACAAACAAATCACACACAAAAAAGCAATTTTCAAAAGTGAGCTAGCGATTAAGAGCCCGTAGATAACTGTGGATGAAAAGGATGCTAACACTTCCCCTTTTCATAACTTACCCCCCGAACTCAAAATCTATCAAGGTCTTTCCTGTTCTTTTCACCCTTTTCTTATTAGATAAAAGAAAAATCGGTGGCGACTTAGCTATCCGCAACATTTGCGATGAAACTCAAAACAAGTCAGTTCTCCCACTGTATTAGACATCCTTATCTGGCAGAGTGAGTGATGCATCAGTTTGACTATGTGCAGATCATTCCTAGACATCTCTATGAGGCCTCTCCTCCCGATATCGGCCGTAGAAACCTACAAGATATATTGGATAATTTATAGAGTCACTTGGTACTAGAGGAGTATCGTCGGGATCCCTCTCATGTACATTGGGCTTATGTCGAGAGCTACATGACATGGTTCTATAGGGTGTCACACCCTATCATGACGCCAAATGCTCTTGGAGAACCACCTAAGCCAGCTAACCTGGAGGTACTTAAGGTTCAGGATGATCATGCAGAGTGTGATGGCGGTAATGTCGGCGTGTTGTGGAGATGAGTGGAGAAGCCATAGAGACATGACTCTTTGAGGATGAGTCTTTCCAGTTGGCCCTCGTACAGACCTTGGTTGCCAAGTTACGAAATATTGTGTAGTACGGGTGACAAAGGAGGCATACGGTTAGACATATCCAGTAGTTTATATTGAGATGTATTATTTTTTGGTATTTTCAGATGTATTTTACCCTCCTATTATGTATATGTTCTCTTAACTTTTTTATTTATTAATATATGAATTTTTACCCTCTTTTAACCTTAATTTTTTACTTTTTTTTATGTTAATTTAAGTTAATATAAGTTAACTTATGAATTTTGGACTCACAAAAATGAATGTTTGGACAACGGTGTTGTTCTGATGTGAATAAGGGAGGATTCTAGAGATGCATCTCTGAAACAGTCCCCCTTTGTATTTACCACACCTCTGAAAATTTTTCAGAAGAATTCAGAGATGCATCTCCAAAAATACTCAAATACCTTACGGAGAAGCGTCTTCAGACCATATTTTATTCAAAATGAAGTGGATCTCAGAATATCGTATTTTGGTTGTGATTTAGGTGCGTTCGAAGATGCATCTTTAGATACACAAAACACATTTTTAAATTTTTAAAGGTGTGATATGCTTGTGAAAAGAACAATTTCCTAATTTTTTACGTGCTGTATAAAGAAAGTAGAGCTTTTATACTTCCTCTGGTTACTATTATAAACAAAAAAAAATAATCTTAAATTTTAATCAGTATTATAAACAAAAATTATTAACTTTTAAACTAATTAATATTTATATTACCATTATACCCTTACTTTAAATCAAAAACATTTAACATTAATAATTGATTCATTAAATATAAGTAAGATATTATATTAAGATATTATATTACATTTTAGTTTGATGGAATTGGAGGAAGTACATAATTATGTTGAAGTTTTTAATTTATGCAAACCGAGTTTTGATTAAGAAGAAAGAGAAGGCATTGCAACAGGATTTATGGATGGGAGAGTCCAACCCCTGAAACTACTAACTGAGGAGTCTATGAAAAAGTTACTCAACAGAAGATGGACACTGCCAACCCCTGAAACTAAAATTCATCAAGTAATTCACACACATAGATTGGATGGTAGTAATTTCTTCCAATTGAACACCAATCCAGATTTTGAACAAAGGAAGAGCTTTTATGTCGTGCGGGATGATTTGTTGCATCCGCTAATTAATGGCAATAAAGCAAGAAAATTGGATGGATTGCTTCCCTTGCTTCAAGATCATTCAGTCACTGATGTGGTAAATTGTCCTTCAATTCATTACAACTATGTTTAGTTTTTCTTTAATCAGGGTTCCTTTCAAGATCAAATAACATTCAACAACATTTTCTAGGTTACCTGTGGAGGTTGTCAGAGTGCTCACACAGCTGCTATTGGTAGGTAACTTTCTGGTTTATGCTGAGCATTATGTTTTTTAGGAGGGAAGTGTACTTTTGGTGGATATTATGCTTAGTTCTTAGCAATTAATGCTACCCATATCATGATTTGCTTATTTTGCAGCTGTTCTGTGTGCTGAGAGAGGAATTACGTCACATCTGCTTCTACGAGGAGAGCAGCCTGAAATCTTGACTGGCTATAACTTGATGTCTACAATATATGGAAATGTCACATATGTTCCGCGAACTATGTATGCCAACAGGGAAGAAATGCTAAAGAACTATGCTAGGTCAGTGGCCGGAAACAGTGGTGCTTTCCTGTGGTTCAGTGATATCATTCAAGCTTCTTCAACAGGCGAATTGTCTACTTCTCAAAATTTTACGAAAATGGACGCAAGTAGAAGTGAGAGAAACCATCTTCAAAAGATTTTAGTTGTCAACGAAGGGGCTGGTGATTCTGTTGCTCTACTAGGTAATGGGAAGTTGAAGTTTGAAAAACAACAATGCATATCTTTGGGATCATTTTCTCTTAACAATGCGTAGCCGTTAACTTTATGGACTGTTGCGGAAAGAACTTAAATGAAAATGTTGTTTCTTTGTATAGGTATTATTCGGTTAGTGCAATACTTATCACAAAATCATTTACTTGGGAAACAAAGAGCCACAAACTTTGTCGTTGATGCTGGTACTGGCACAACAGCTATTGGTATAGGACTTGCAGCCATTTTCTTTGGGTGCGGATCAGTTTGTATACTGCTAATTTACTTAAAAAGTATTTTTGAATCATTTTCCCGAAACTGTTCATGTTGCGTTTTGAACCATAACAGAAAAGGCTACATTAAATCTCAGTAATCAGATTTGTTGTTTCCTTGCAGACTTCCGTGGGAGGTACACGCGGTTATGCTGGCAGATAAAATTGATGGGTACCGAAAGCAGGAAAAGCACTTGATTGTTGAATTCAGTAAGCATTTCAATGTTGAGTTTCTTGACCACGACGTAAACAAAGAAGATGCTCGGATTGTGCATTGGGTGGAACGTGACCGTCCAAGAAAGTAAGATGTTATAGACTTTTTATTTCTTTTTTACGGTATAAAGATGTCATAGACTTTGCAGCAATTAGATTGCTAGTGGTATATATAAAAAAGACACCTCCGACAAATAATTCAGATAGCGGTGATTCACATCTGTGATGTTCTGATGGTAACTATAAATAGGTGACTTAACTCTTCTGCAACTTCTTTATATAAACACGTCAAAGTAGTTGTAAGAAACTGTTGGAAGGAACATTTTTAGTTGGTTTCTAACTCTTGTTTTGTCCCTCTCAATCATCTATTTGGCATTTCTAGGTTCGGTAATATTTTGGACGGCGAAATGGTAGTATGTCAGCAAATTGCGCAGCAAACTGGGATTCTAGTGGATCCTGTTTACACATTAGCTGCTTGGGAAAAGGCAATGCTTCTCTCTAGCAAAGAGGATGAAGAAGGAGCAGAAGTGGTGATGCTTCATACTGGAGGCACGTTAGGCATGTTTGGGTTGGCGCAGAGGTACAAAAAATATTTTGGCATGCTCAAAAAGTGACTCAATCATTTTAGAAAAGATTATTTTTTGAATTATTTTTTATTCAAACTAGTAAAATACCCGTGCTCCTTCACCGGTAAATTTGTTTGGTATAGTTATAATATTTTGAGCTATACTGATAAAAATATATTTTAAAATGATATGTTAGAAAAATGCAAGCTTAAAGATAAAAAATTGTGATTGGTTTGGATTGGAAAATACTTTTTTGTTGAATGTTTAGAAAAATACAAGCATGGATGTTTCATGTTTCAAGTTAATTTGGATTTTATTGTTCCTTCTTAATAGCTTATTTCTCTTTATGGAAGTTCATTTCCTTTTATAATTCCATACTGTTAGTATCATGCATGTGCTACACTTGCACAAACATCAATTCAAAACTTTCTAAATCAATCATATTCATTAATTTAGATGATTCATATACATATGGGTGAAAGACATCATATCATCAAAAGTTTACAAAATCATTTCACTATAATTCAAACTTCAAGCCTTGATAATATTTACTTAGCTAAAATTCAAAACTCTGGTGAGCAAGTATTACATTACAATTCAAATCTGTATTCTCTTATATAACAGGTGAGGCCAAAAATGAGAAGATACACCGTGGTATATGCTATTGTCTAATGAATTTTTTAACTGTGTTTTTTCACCTAATGGTTCAAATAGTCACAATGCCGATTTTCTTAATCATAAATTTCGCTGTCCTTTGGGCAAACAGTCTCTATTTTCTCCAAACCCTCAACATCATCAGTCATTTGGGCAAACAGGTTCACACCATCAGTGTTGCTACCTTTAAGATGTTTTCAAGCCCTTCAAAACAAACTATCACAATCTTAGGATCAGGACATATGAGAATATCACATAGAGGGTTAATACACCCCTGATTTATCAAGATACTGTCAACAACGAAAAAATAACTTATGATATCTTGAAGCAAAAATGTCGGAAAACTAATAAAATTATTAAGGATTGCAAAAATAAGGATCTCCCCATACTCGAGTTCTTAATGAGATCCACCCGATATAGCATTAGAGAAGGCCCATGCAACTTCTTTCTTGATATCAAACTCAACATTTTGAAGCAAGACAACCAAAGGAGGAATTATATTGGCATCAATTACGGCCTGTGAATTTTCAAGAATAGAAAGAAATATAAATTAAGTCCTCTAAATGTACAGATAGCAAAGTTTTAGATAGCCTCAGATAGCAGAGTTTTAAGTTCACCTTTCTTGTACAACTTAAGTGTATCTCGTGTATCTGCATAACTAAAAATAAAATGTTGGAAACAAAAGGAGAATACAAAGGAAACTTTGCATTGTTAAGCTTTTTATTGAATAGTGTATCATTAGTCTTTTTGAAACAGCTAGAAATCGAAACAGAAATGATATTTGCTACAGACTCACAAATGCATCCCAACTACGCAAGTGATAATGCGGTACAATATTAATGCAATTCCCCAAGCACAAATCTCAAACCCAAATATAAACTAACATGCATATATCAATTTGAAAGACAAACAAATAAACAAAAATTATTATGGTTTTGTGATGACAAATCCTAAAATTAAAAATCAAAAGAAATCCAAAATCAGAAACAAATGGAAGGTTAACCCAAAAATTTAGCCATGAAAATTGCAAGGAAAACTTTAAAAAATGCATAAGGTAAATTATCAAATTAATGAGAGTAACATTCCTATTCTGTGTGATAATAGTTATGCTATTTATTTATCTAGGAATCCTATTTTACATTTTCGAGTTAAATATATTGAGATAAAATATCTTTTCATTAGAGACTACGTTTAAGAGGGAATTTTATAGTTATCATTTATTGATACAAACCATCAATGAGATGATATCTTTACTAAATCCTTGTTGAAGATAGATTTGGTTTCATTCTGAAAAATTTTAAAATGAAAGTTTGTCCTGAATGAATGATGAAATCTCAGAATGAGTAGCATCCGAATGAAAAAAATCTATTTATAACTTATTTGTTTCTAAATCTATTTAGCCCACTGAAGTAAAAAGGTTCTTTGGGTCAGATACCTTAAGCCATAATCCTTATGAGATTTTCTGTATGGACTCGAAGCTATATAAATGTTCAGATCCAAGCACTATTGTTTTAGGCATAAGAATTGTGACACTTAGTAAACTAATTCTTCAACTATAAAAAATGTTTGAATGACTTTTGGGAGTTATTTTATTGGATAAAATAAAATCATATATGTCTATCCCTCTAAGTTATCTCTGTTTAAAATTGTTAGTGTCTTTTAAAATATTCACTATAACATTCTTTTAGCACACACTTCTGATTTGGTTGGAAACCTCTCTATCAACATCTCTGGTTCACTCAGAAGATTCAAAATTGCAAAAGAAGCTTAAAGAGAAGCTATGAGAAAATGATTAGTTATGATTGTTCAAGAGGTGGTACAAATGTATGATCAATTAAAGCAAACAAAATTGTAGTTGCATATCTTTAGGGGGAGTTGTTGTTGCATATCCTTATCATATGCAGGATAAAAAATCCCGATACGGTTATCTTTTGATTGTTTGTCTTATCGCTTTTGTATTTTATCTTTGTTGAGTCTCCCTAATAGATTGCTCACACATGATTCGTATATTTTAGCATTTATAAACCTTTTGGTTATGTTCAAACTTGATCAAAATGTTATTAGTCAAGTGTATGATGAAGAAGTGAAAAACACAAGAAGGGGGATTGAATTGTAAAAACTGGAAATCAATTGCAATGAGCACGGTATTTTTATCCTGGTTCGTTTGATCTCAAACTACTCCAGTCCACCCGTCAAGGTGATTTCGTCTCTCTCCAACGAGGTCTTAATCCACTATATTCAACTGAATATTACAATCTGCTTTAGCAACTGCTAGAGCCTTCTTAATGCAAACCACAAACTGGTTTCTCAAGGAATTACTTTCTTACAAAGAATTGAAATCTAGGTGTGTGAATGTTTTCTACAAAACTGTTTATCACAACTGTGATACTACACAAATTAAGCTTAAGAGAACTAGATTGCTAAAATAATTGAGTAAGGAATTTTGGAGCTTTTAGCAAACTGAGAGTGAGGAAGATGATGAAGGCTTTTTGGCGTGTAGATTGTTGTAGAGCATTAGCCAATTCAATCTTCATTGACTTGTTTATATAGCATTGGAATAGTGTACGTTGGAGCAATAATTCTGTTTCAATGCCAATAACAATCTTTCCTTATTAAGCATATCTTGTCTGGAATGATGTCGTTGGTAATAACTCATCTTGAATGCACAGTACCGTTGCCACTTAAGCGTGTTCTGGCTTTGGCTCATTCTGACGCTGCTTAGGTGCTGATGAACTGTTGTTGTTTTTATCAGAGTTCAGAGTGTTGAGCGCAGATCTGTTCATCAAGCTTCAGCATAAGCGTAGGTTGATCTTCTGATTCTGGTATTTGATATATCATCTTCTGATGCTGATGTTGATATCCAATATTCTGATGCACTCTTGCTGATACCCATCAGAGTTTCTGTAAAACAGAAAGTAATTTTTAGGTAGCAAATAGTTCTTTACATGAATCACATAATTAATATATCTTAGCATTTTGTTATCATCAAAACTTAAACTTAGGGTGGTAGATTCAAACTTTGTTCTAACAATCTCCCCTTTTTTGATGATGACAAAAACTAGATATTTTTTAATTGAAAATAGCGTGAAAAGTATCAGAGATAACTAAATAATAAGTTGAATCATAATTAAATAAGAAGTTATCAAAGATAAGGGATAAAGAGATATCATAGTTTAGATCGAAGATACTCCCCCTGAATTTATTACTTCCCTTTTTAATTCCAAGAGTTCTTCAGGATCAGATCTTTATTGACTTTCTTTGAACATCAGAATATCAGAGCTTTGGATCAGAATGTCAGAGCTTTGAGCTTCAGTGTATCAGGGGTGATTAACTTCTTGTAACTGTAGACTTATGCAAAAAAAAAAAAAAAACAGAAAACATTCAAGTATATCAGAGTTAGAATGTTTGAGACTTTTTGTCTCAGTAATCCGTTATTGAAAAATATCATTCTTGTTCTCCCCCTTTTTGTCAGTAATCAAAAAGTGTAAGTGATGTGCTAAAATGATCAGAGCAGAAAAACTTGTTATATTAAAATTCAGAGCCAGACAAAACAGTACAAAAGATATGCAAAGAAAACATTGAAAATATCATGAATGAAAAACTAAGGTTGGGGTGGGAAGCATGTGAACAGAGTCTCCAGCATTGCCTTAATCTGATCAGCAGTTTCAGTCTGCTTGTGCACCATGCTGACTACTGTATATATCTTGCTGTCTTGCACATCCATCCTTTCCTTCATCTTCTGATCATTTTCATCCATTCTTTGCTGTAGACGAATATCATTCAGCCTCAGCTCTTCCAGAGTCTGCCTGTCCAAGGCAGCTTGAGAAACATCAGAAGCAGTAAGCTTCTGAGAGCTTTCTGCAACATCTTCAGCTTGTCTGACCTCTTCAGCTTGAATAGTCTGATCTTCTTTTGGCTGCACTTTTGAAGCTGGGCGCTTCTCAGACCATGGCTCACTATCCAGAAAGAGCACTTCGTCCTGTGGAAGCTGACTTTCAACTTCCTTCAGCAGCTTGCTGAAGTTCTGTTGTGCCTGCTCATAATTGATATCTTGCAATTTGAGGGCTTCAGCACGTACCCATATTCTGAAACAAGTCCAGAGTTGGTCTGAGGCAGCAGGATCAATCATTCCAGGACAAACTTGCTTCAGAGAAGCAATCCATTGCTGCAAACCTGTTTCAAAATTCACAATGCCAGAGCCAACATCTGGCTGTTTTGGTTTGGGAATGGCTATTTTGTGTTTGAGATCAGCAAGACGGTCAAGGATTGTCAAATCGATGAAGGTCCTGCTGTGGTTTTCTGTAGTTTGTTTGGGAGATGGAGTGGGAGAATCAGAAATAATAATTGGACTGTTTGGAGTTTTTGGAGTATTTGGAGGGATAGCTTCTGGAGAG